TGCTTAAAATATGAAAGCATTGAAATCCTCTTTCCTGCAGAGCACTTTCTATGCGGTCGTACAGGTAATTTTGGTTTGTTTTTTTTATACAGGTCTGTCCTTTTACCCAGTTGCATTTAGCACCAGGGAGAAAAATGCAGTGTTTCATAATCTGGATTATTCTAAAAATGCACACAGGTCTCTGTAGGAAACATGGCAACCTGCCTCGACTGCAGTCCATTTTGCAGGCAGAAAAAAACTTCTTTTCCACTTTGAAATTCGGGTTTTTTATGGGGGGGAGAAGTGCCTCCCTTCTTCTCCAAGGAAAACTTTTCCCCCCACCCTCCTGCATTGATCCGACTGGGCCGGGACCCCCTTCCTCCTTGGCCCAGACGTCTGAGACACAAAAACTACCCCATGGGCATCAGACGTGTGTCCCATCTCTCACAGGATGAAGGATCCAGGGGGATCATTTCAATCATGCGTGGCAACAGTATAATCGATTAAGAAGTAAATTGCATCGGAAAGATATAACCCAGCAAGCGATTTGCGAGATGGGCAGCATAGAAATTCAGTAAATAAATAAACTGAGAAAATGATCTTACGGAACTGACCGCTACTGGATGAACCATGAGGTTCAGACAGCATTAAAAGGGGCAATGGAAGTTTTTGACACTCGCCCAGCCTGCTCTGCTCACAACATTGGGCTCTTTGGCCTCCCCACAACCCTCCAGGATCTTCCAGACATAGAAATAGTCCTTTAAAAAAAAGAGAGAGACCATAACTGGCTGTGATTGTTGGGGGATTCTGGGATTTGTAGTTTTAAAAAAATGTAGCATCCCCCCCCTCCAGACTGAGGTTTTCTTTCCTTTTGTGTTTCCGCAAACCTTGATGCTTTCCCAGGGGAGAATGCCAGCTTCCTTAGGAAAAACGGGTTTCTTGGCCTCTCTGCATTGAGGGTTAGAGGCAGGGTGGTGCAGTGGTTTGAGAGAAGTTGGCACTGGAGTAGGTTCTGGTCTTCCCTAAGCCATTGCACTCACTGGGTGACCTTGGGCCTCTGCCTTGACCTCACAGGGTGGTTTTTCTGCAGACAGAGGAAGAATTAAGCTTTCTCAAGGCAAGGTGTGTTTGGGGGGTAGAAACATAAATGTTTAAAAACGTGAAATTTATTGAGAAGGCCCTGAGGTCTTCCAGGAGCGGCTAGTCCTCATTGGGTTTATTAATGCAACCTGGATAGTCACAAAATACAGCTAAAATTACAAGTACATTGCAAAGTGTATGGCATTTTCCCTGGTAGACTGCACCTAACTATGGAGGTTCAAGGCCTTATCAATAGCTGTTTGAATGTCTAATTGTTTTTTTTTATTATTTATTATTCTGTCCCAATCTTTTTTAAAAATCCAAATTAAAAGTACTATCCCGCCAGGGTCATTTTGTGGCTGGATGCATAAAGCGACCTCCTTAGACCAGGCCGACCCAAAAGAAGACAAGAGGCAATGAAACGGTTAATCGAGATTCCTTCCCTTTTTTTGCATGGGCGGGGCTGGGCCTCCAGGCAGCCAATCGGCTTCTTCCAGGGCAGGCCCGCCCCCGCGGGGGAGTTTGGTTGAGCAGCGGGGAAACACGGCCTGTAGTACCAGGCGGCTCGGCCAATCGGAGCGCGTCCAGCGGTGGAGTGACTTTGCGTCACGGCTCCGGGTCTAGAATTACATCATGGGGGGCGGGGACCGTCCGCCTCCACGTGGAGGGGAGGGTGGAAGAGAGGCGGTGTTGTGGGCGGGGCTAACATTTAAAGGGGCCGCACCTGTTTTTGGCTGGGAAGAGGCGCTTAAATCAGTTGCAAGAAAAAATCTGGTCAAAGCCTTCCCTGCTTTTGGGGGCAAGACCTTAACAGGGTTATTGTTCCTGCCCAAGGACTTTTAACTGGGGAGAAGAATGCACCCTCCGTTTCCTCCTTCCCCCAGGGTGGTGGAGGGAACGTGCAAGATTACCTCTGACCATGGGCAGAAAGCTCTCTTTTTTTTCAGCCCTGCACCTTGTGGGGGTCAAGCAAGGTGACGGTCTGGTCTGCCATCCCATCAGATCGCAGCAACAACGTTATACTTTGTTGGGGGCTAAGATCTCCCGGTGGAGGCTGCATTAGCTGGGAGAATGTTTAGAACCTGTAAAAGTAGATAAATAACTTGAAATAAATAATAAATAAATAACTTTTCCAAAGTCCAAATCACCCCCCCTTCCCCTGTGCAAAACTGGAGCCCGTGGAGTGTTCTCCCATGCAATGCAATTGCCTTTTTGGGATGCCAACTTTTATTTGGGGTGGGGGGGGGTAGAGTCTTTCCGCCTTGATGGACTACGAAGCAGGTGGAAATTCAGGAGGCGAAGGGGCATGGCCCACCGAGGGAATTAGGGCGCTGCTCTCGGAAGAGCACAGGAGCCCCACGGGGAAATGACGTTGGCCACCTTACCCGTGGCAAGGGTGCCCACAGAACAAACATTAGTCACGGCCTGATAGCCACCTGTAGCTCCAACCTCTTGGGTCCAAGGATGGACAGCTAATGGTCTTCTAGATGTCCCTGGACTACAATTCCCATGATCCCCCAATGCTGGCTATGCTGGAAGGGGACCAATTGGGATTTGCAGCCCCCTGCCTCATACCTATACAGAGAGAGGGTCTGAAACGAATCTGGATTTCTGTTTCTCTTGCCACTTTCAAATGCACCCAAGGCTTGCCCTAAGCAGCGACCTTCACTCAGCCTAAACAGGCATCAATGAAATGATCCCCTTTTTCTTCCCCTTTTCCCTCTCCCTGCCTCCGTTCCTGGCTCCTTCCCTTGTCGTCTCTACACTGTAAGCTCCTAGGGGCAGAGAAGCCTATCCTGACTTTAGGGGTCAAAGACACATGGATTGGGAAAGGGATGGCTCATGGTGTTTGATCCCTGGCCCTCCATTCAGCCAGGTGGGAACTTGGGGGGAAAAACTTGTTCCTCTCTTCCCCCCAAAGTTTCCTGGCCAGTCGGTGTCAAATGTCGACCTCGCGTCCAAACAGAAGCCAGCCACTGTACTTTACTAGAATATTGTGGGGGACAAAAACATGCGCGCACACAGAGACACACACACACACACCTGCCTGGCACATGATGTGCTGGACACGGGGCCCGGGGTGGAAGGATCCGGACAGGGCTCCGTTTCACAAGAACGGCGCTGCAATGGCAAGACTCCAGAGCAGATGGAGGTGGCTTAAAGTGACTTAACTCCAGTTTAATTGCATCCATCCTATTCCTTAATCTGCCGCACATCCAAACTCATGATTGCAGACACAAAAATAGAGACGGGCGTGGGTAACAAGCCTATGCAGTCGGAGCTGCGAGTTGCATGATCTTGCTGACTTTTTATTCGTTGCCATTAATTTATACCCCACGCCTTTCTTCCTGGCTGATTTTGGGTCTTAAGGGCGCTATGGTTGCCTTTAATCCCAGTAGTGGCACCCAATCATTCCTGGAGTCGCCCTTCCTTCCCAGATGATCTCTTCCTGAGGTTGGGTTATACAGACAAAAAGGTAAGGTCTTTGGAGCAGAATCTCTGAAGAAGCCGATCCAGGGATTGGCGGAAGTGTGTAAATAACAACACTGCATGCAGAGCATGCGAAATGATGAAATGCACCTCCGCTATGCAAACTCTGCCAAAAGCTTATGACGAATCCCATCTCACAAGAGCCGTTTCATAGTACAAGCTCAGGCAGGAACGGGTTCAAAATATCACCGTCCATACACTTTCCCCTCTCCCCCTGCAAGGTGTGTAATTAGCTGATGCCTGACAATCTATTTTTAAAAAAAATAATAAAGCAAAACACATTGCAATATAATCTGTTGACTGCAAGAGATAAGGCGAGTGGCGCTGTGGGTTTTCAAACGGGAAACGAACAAGGCCTTCTCTAAAAGTGTTGGAGGCTTTTTAGCATAGCGTGTGGGGGGGGCCAGGGAGTGACAATTTAATTTTGGATTAGAAAAGTGGGGGCCATTTTACACATGGGGGCGTCTTATACACAGGAAAAATAGGTAAGTGTCCAGAAGATGATCAGAGAAAGGTTTACAAAAATCTGCCGGATGGAATGGATATTCAGCCGCTCAATGAAATGACCGGCCAGTCTGTAGGGATCCGTCTTTCGAGCGGGTGGTGGTGGGAAATAGGAGCAGGCGACAAACCCCAGACTCCTTCAAGCATCTTGACCTGTACAAGTTGGCGGTTTCTGGAAGACGCTGTCCAAACAAGGAACGTGGCCCCGTGCCTTTAGCAGACCAGGCCACCGATCTCGCTCCGTCGATGGAATCAAAACTAGACCCGAGTCGCGTCACTGGTGTAACTGAAGCCCAACATGACGTCACGCAACTCAAGTCTCCATCCTTGCCAGAGGCTACGCCGGCCATGGCGTGCCAGCGGCTGCAGTGTCATATTTGCAGAGAACACCCCACCCTCGCTCACAGAAGGAGACCCTCGACTCTTGTCCCTTCTGCGCACCGTTTCTGGTCAAAGAAACGGTCGAATGGAAAGACTTTTATACACAGGTGAAGGTGGGCCCATCGCGAGAAGCCATGCTTGGCCCTGTTCTCCTATCCACCTCCTTTCAGTCTGTAAGACAAGCCCTCTGTGTTGTTCAACACACACACACACACACCCAAAAAAATCCTGCCTGAGAGAATGGACAGCAATGCCGTAAGACACAGTTGGAATCGAGAGCCCCGGAGAAGTTGCACTAATGATCATTTATTGGAGTCTCCTGCCCGAGAGAATGGACAGCAATGCCGTGAGACACAGTCGGAATCGAGAGCCCGTTGCACTAATGATCATTTATTGGAGTCTCTTTTTTTCCACATGCAAGAGAAGAAAATGTACAGAGAGGAAGAGAGACAGAGAGAGACAAAGACACACACAGAGAGATGACTTCTGGAATGAGACACAGTAAAGTGACAGCAAGTTAATTAATACCTCCTTACGCGGTAAACTGCCAAGTAAACTGGTGTGTGTTTTTTTTTTGCTCACATGAAAACACCATCATTAACAGGGAAGAGAGAAGCCAGGATAGTTTTAAAGGCATTTAAGAATTATTATTATTATTATTATTTTTACATAGCAGTCTTTACATTTTCTTATAAAACAATTAATTCCCTTTCACTGCCCACCAACCTTCTCTCCCCCCCTCCCCGCAAAGACAAAAACAAACCATCGACTGTTTCCAGTAAATAAATATTATCCACTTTTCATATGGAGACACCTAGACTTTTTAAAATATACAGACGAAGGCTCTGTCTGACACAGGTTATTTGGGGAGGGTGACTGGGACAGAGGTATGTAACAGGAAGCAGATGGGGAAGGTGGAAAAGAGCTTACGCCACTTTACAGCAAAAGAAAATAAAAATAAGACTTCATTGAATTGGAAGGCGCATAGAAGCATTTACTCATTACAAGGGATGCTGGATTGCACGAGGAAAGGCTGGGGCGGTTTTCTTTCGCTAATGCCCGAACGCTTGCAGGTTTGCTACTTCATACCAAAGGTTCGGAAGTACCGTACAAAAGACCTCTCGGCCAGTTGCTTCCTGGGAGGTCAGAAACGGATGGTGCAGGTGGACCCCATCTCGGGGACGGTCCATCTGGCTGAAGATGCCAAGGCAGGCCGTGCTGGCAAGGAGGCAGAGGGGGAGGCAAAAGAAAGCCAACTACTTTGGCTGGACATCCAATAATTAAAATACAAGGGGAAGTGTTTACTCCGTGCACAGCGGACCTGGCTCAACAGGTCCTGCAATGATCCTGCCGGCTCCAAAGCCAGCGTTGGCATCAGCGGGTTCGGGAGCGAACGCCTGCGCCCTTCCAGACAACGGGGCAAGCTAGGGAGACGAGGCCACAAGGAGAACACCGGCTTCTCCCCGTCGTCTGGCAGCAGACCGGCCGCTATCGGAGCAGCCTTCCTTTGGAACGGAAAAAGGGCAGAGACTAGAGGGTGGCTTGGCCCCCGGCTGCCACCTCTGTTTCCCAAACCACTCTGCTTCCATCTGCTGAAATTGGGGGTTTAGTGTTCTCTGTGACCAGGTTGCTTTGGACTACAACTCCCAGAATCCCCCAACCGGCACGGCCGCCACCGAGCCTGCTGCCTCGGGAATCCTCACCGCTTTCCCAACATCCGAGGAAAGCAGAAGTGGAGTCATGTCTGGCACAGGGAAGGGAGGGCGACCCCCTCTGGCTACACTTCTCTCACCCTTTTGGAAAGGTTAATGGGGCAGATGGGTTATCTGGGTGGTTATGCCATGGGGGGGTCCTTCTGGTCCACCACGGTCTGGATTCAACTGCTGTTGAAAACAGACGCAAGGTCTGTAGTGAGAAAACGGTCTGGAGGTGTTTCTGGAGTCAAATATCTCTACGGGGTAGGATCCGGTCTTAGAAACATCTGCACTCTATGCATAACTATTTATTATTATTATTATTATTATTATTATTATTATTATTATTATTATTATTATTATTATTATTATTATGAAATGTTACACATCCCACGCAGAATATATTTTAAACAGAAGTATTTTCTCTCCCCCGGCCACCTGACAGTAGTGGAAAGTAATTGACCGAAGGACGCAGAAGGAAAAGAAAAAAGAAGAAAAGGCAGTGATAGAGGGCCCCGGGGGAGCAGAAAGGTTTGCCTATACATGGGCCTGCTACCATGCCGTGCGAGGGACACAGCAGATCACACTCCTCTTCTGTGGGGATTCTTCGAGAAAACTGTCCACTGGGTCAGGACAAAAATAAATATATTTTAATACTTGAAGACAAAGCGTCATTAGTGTCGTAAGAAAAGATCTCAAGGATAATTTAGTGTCGTTTAGCGAGCCGTAACAGAGAAAACGGTCTTACAGACCGTTGCACGCCCTCATGATTATTATGGCCTTTCCTCCTCTGACTTACGGCGTAAGAGTGGTCCACCTTTCGTCACCCTATAAATATGGTTACAGGAATGGTAGCTGGACAGGAAGGAAATCAGAAAAAGCAGTGAAGCCGACACGCAGAAGACGAACGGGACGGAATATATTTACACTGCATCTTCTGACCTTTTTCTTAAAGGGCCACAGGAAAGCGAGAGTAAAGGGGGGCGAAACCGTTCGTTATATTTTTGGGGGAAATATAAAGGCTGTAACCGGCTGTCGGTAACTGTATCGGCCATAAACTGCGGAAACCGAGGCCAACCCTCAACCCCAGCTCTCTCAACGAGGAACACTTGGGAGTTTCCCCAACGGTCGTTTAGGACTCCGATCTCTTTGGCCCTCGGAGCTCCTTGGGCTAGTTACGGTATCCTTGTTGTGCAAAGAAAGCCGTGGTGGAAGGAAAGAAGGGACGGCATGGAGGGGTGACCACAGGGAGGCCAAGAGGGGCCCAGGAAAGAGATCTGGCTTGCCAGAGAGGCTTCCTCCTTTTCCCGAAATGTCTGGTTCTGAATCACGGCTCCTGCCGACTCCGTTCAGGCTGCTCTCTCTGCATCCCTGGCCGTCTCTCGCCCTCCTTCTGTGCAAACGTCAACTCATCGCCTGTTTAGTCCTTCCGCCCAGCCAGCTCTTTGGGGGTGCCCCGAGCCAACCCACGCAAGGACACCCTCCCTGTCCCCCACAATCACCCACACCCTGGGGGAGTGCTCGCTTCTGCTCTGCTCTCTGCTCTTCCTCATCGTAGGGCAGCTCAGAAGACCTGAATCAACCTCCAGAGGAGCCAAGCTCCGTGACTACGCACAACCCCGTGCCCTTTGGTTGGCTTCCTTCTCAAACGGGGCAAGGGAATCGTGGTTTATTCAAAAAGAGAGAGAGAGAGAGAGGAGGATCCATTTCAGCATCACAACCTCCTGGTCCTCAACCAGCATCATTACCGGACATGCTGTGCGGAGACAATCTGCAGGGTTCTAGTCAATGTCTGAAAGTTTCCCTAGCCCTGATAGCCACCGCAGGCCTCCCGTTGGAACCTGGAAAGAGGGGGGCCACCCGGCACCCCTTCTCAGGCTTGCTGAACACCCACACCGTTCCATCACCCCACGTTAACAAGCTGCCTGGGGTCTGGGACAAAGCAGCCGCAGCCATAACGTATTGCACCTTGGGAGCAGAGCCCGAGATACTACCGTGCCACGTCTGGGCAAAGGCTTCTTTTATTTTATTTATTTATTTATTTATTTATTGGGTTTATACCCCGCACCGTCTGGCAACCAGGCCACTCTGGGCGGAAAAGCTTTCTCCCACCGTCCCCATTCATCCCCCATAACCCCACGGCCAACATCACCTTTTCTGATTCCACCGAGCAAAGCGCAACGGAAAAAGCCAAAGGAGCCAGGGCAACGCATTACGAAACAAGCCCTCACCCTGTTCAGAATTCAACTCAGCCGAGAAACCTCAATGGCAGCATCCAGGAAGTAACCCTAAGCAGGGCGCATGAACAAGACAGAACCACCAACCACTCAGGACTGAGAGCTCCCAAGAGATGCTCCGTGGATTTCCAAGCTTGCACGTTTCCACCTCGCATTTGCAAAGCAACCCAAGATTCGCTGATGCTTCTCAGAAAAGAAATGAAAGACACATCGCCCTTGCAGTAAGAAACATCTGTACCGCTGGGGTGTTCAAGACAAGCAAGTCACAACCCTGCCTCTGGGTTCTGAGGATCCGTTGCGACCAGGGGCCTCATCTAAATCCTTTCTACCATGGGGGCGAGGGCAAAACGAAGGGGTTAGCACTTGCCCAGACAAACCAAGATCCTTTCAAAAAAGCCAGCCAGCCAATCTGGCAGACGTATATCTTCCATCAAACCACCCTCCAGCCTCAAACAGCAACCCCTGAAGGCAAGACTTCTAAAGTAATACAGTGGTGCCTCGCTTGATGACGATAATCCGTTCCAGCAAAAGCAATCACAAAAACCCCATCGTAAAGCAGATTTGTTGTGGAGTGGGGCAATCGTCAAGCGGGGCACCACTGTAATTCATCTCATTGGACACTCTCTGCCCGCTACTTGCTCATCACAGCCAGCTCATAATACTCACCGCAAGCGGCGGTCTTGGGCGGAAACCTGCCCGATAAATCTTTGAAAAGAAACACTGATGCCCCAAGATCATACTATGGCAAGTTAAATGTGTTTAAGCAACATTTGGGGAAAAGAGAGGAATTTCTTTTGCATTGGACCTCAGGGGAAGGGAGTAAAGGCTGGACCGGCCTCCTTCTACAAGAGGTGCAGGTGCATAATCAGAGCATGACCAGGCTTGCCCGGGTCTCCATGCGCTTTGGACAGACTGATGGGAACAGGAGAGAGTGCTTGCCTGCATGAAACCCAGACCCCCTTCTCTGGGCACCTCTATTCTTCATCCGATGGAGGTGGGCGAGAGAACACTCATGCAATTTTTAAAAAACATAATAATAATAAAAGGGACAGTAAATAACATCTCGGCATTATTCGCTCAGGGTGAGAAAGAGGGGAGTTCAGAGAGCATGAGAGGACAGCCACAGGAATGACCAGACCAGGCTTGGGCGCCCTTTCAAAAGTTAGCTTAGTTTTGGGAGTTTGGGGGGGAGGAAGAGAGAGACGGCTTCCAAGAGTGGAGAGAGGCCATCTCGGAGAGCCGGGAAGGTGGAGGGAGCTCATCGCTAGCTGGAGAGCACAAGGAGAGCTTGAGCGCACGGCTCCCAAGCACGCACACGCGCACACACGCAGACACACAGAGAGAGCAAGGGAAGGACCGTTACAGGGCAAAGAGAGCGTCTTCCGAGCGCTCCGGTTTCTTTTTGCCGGGAGGGTTCGTCGTCGTCATGGGCGGCGTGGGGTTCTCCTGAGGAGGGGAAGGCAGGCTGGGCATCCTCTCGGCAGCCTTGGCGCGCTCCTCTAGAAATTTGTCAAACTCTGAAAAGTTCAAACACACACACAGAGAGAGACACACACACAAAGGTTGGCACTGCCATTGGCAGTCATGGCACAACGATTCCCTGGGGCCACCTCCAGACCTGCCTGCCCCCCTCCTCCTCTTCTTGCGAGCAAACGACAGCCGCCACCCCCACCCCCACCCCAGCTAGCTTGGCTGTACAACGACACCCGGTCAGGGGGCCCTGTGCTGGAATGTCGCCCGGAACAGGGTCTGATCCTGCCCAGGAAACTGGACCCTACGAGCCCTCCTAGGAAGAGGCTCACTTAAATGCCGCCGATCGTTTGCCATGAACAGAACCACCCCCAGCCGACAGCTCTTCGTGACCTTCTCCTCCTCACTCGACCGGAACCAAGCAACAAGGGACAAGTTAGGGCCGTCTTTTCCATTCTGCGTGACTTTGCTCCTCCACAGGGACGGAGCAGGGCCCTAAGGGCAATCTGATCTTAGACAAACCCTCTGCAGTTCAGGAACCTGCCCGTAGCTACAGGACCCTCTGAACGACCAACACAGAACCACAGGGAACCTCAGGCTGAACCTGGACCTCTCAAGACCCCAGCCTGGCCCTCCGAGCATCCCTGGACGGCCACCTTTTCTTCCTTGCGACACCCATTGCCCAGTGGCTTTCCAGTCCGCCCCCCCCCTCTATTCTCTGAAACAGAAACACTGCTCCCTGAGGCTTAATCCTCAACCATAAAGGCCTAAGCCTGCATTTCACTGCTTCTGTTGGGTGTCGCTCTTGGGCATAGGGTGGAATCACGACCTTCCAGAACCTCTCTGAAATTAAACGTGGTGCTTGGGATGAAAGCCAAACACTGTATCTCCTGAAAACGCAATGGACTGAAAGGGAGGGGGGGGCGTTCTCTGCCCACCCAGCAAGCGAGTGCCTTGTCCTACGGGAATCGCAGCAAGTCCTGTATGATTCCACCTCCATAAGGACTAGGACATTGCAGTGGCTTTCAATGAAAGCTGATGTTGTTGTTCTTCAAGAGCTGAATTCCTCACTCAAGACGGCAGGTTCTCACGCCGCCCCCCCTCTCACAACCCTGCGCTCTTAGAACCACCAAACCTACACGCAGGAGTAGGTTTGGAGGAGGAGCAGCTGCTGCTCTGTGACCGGCTTGGTGGACGGGTTCCCGCGTGGGCTGGCTTACCTTCACTCGTCACCCCTTCTTCCAGCTCATCTCCCTTCTGTAATCGGAACAGAGAAGGGGATCGGGGAAGGGGGAGAGAAAATGTCAGCGCACACTCAAAGAAGTCAGAGAACCACCCCTTGGCGTCCCACTAAGGCCGGCTTGACAAGAGCGGAGACACTGATGCAGGAGACCACCATCTTCCCCCAACGTAGTAGGTCCTTGAGGTGCCTTGGGAGTCCGGCTCCTGCCCGTCCTGCCAGCAGGCTGGCGGAGGGAGGGCGACGAGAGACGAAGCCGGACACATCCGGAGGGCGCCTGGTTGGGGGCAGGTAAGTGTGCAGAAAGCGAGAAAAGAAAATGCAGAGAAGCAGGAAGGCTGGGCAGCGGGTCGTGCATTTCAGGGTCATGAAAGGAGGAAGGAAGCAGCAGCTTTGTGTCGCCCTCCACCGGGGGGGGGGCCTGGATCACCTAACGGGGGCTGGGATCTAGATCAGAGGTTGGGCTGGGTTGGAAGAACCGGGGGCCACTCTTTCACTCCCAGGAGCCACCTCTGGGTTGGTCGTCGTGCTGTTTGGGGCAGGTGGAGGCCACCCCTCCGCCTTGTTTAACTGCAAGGCCCTGGCAGGTTCCGAGCATTGGAAGGGTTCTGCTTTATATTTCTTTTTGCAGAAGAGGAGGAAAGAGTGGAAGGAGGAGGGCAGAGGAGAAGGAGCAGAAAGGGTCGGCCACAGCGATCAGCCATGGAAGCTCAGATGGAAAGCCTGCGTTTATGAGGAACAGCAAGGAACGTTCCCCTCGGCTGTCATCGGCTGGGCGGGAAAACCTCCCCTGGTCTCCCCATCTGGCTAAGGAGACTCTTCGGCCGTCGAACACGGGAAAGCCTGTGAATGGCACCTGGGCTGGGCTGGCGTTCGTAGATTAAATGCGTAGGCCGCTCGTCTCCCTCTCAAGCCTTTGCCTTATCACCGGTTGCCCCCGAATTGGAGGTCAAGCCCCCGAAACAGCCCACAGCAGCCTGTTTTAAAACTGGCTACCCCACCCTGCTCCATGACTCCCCAGCTTCTCACTGGGTGTGGGAAGGAGCCCACAGGATCAGCGGCTTTGGTCTCTCTCTCTCTCTCTCTGTCTCTGAAGCCAGGGCAGGACCGCCCATATTTGCATCTCATACCATACACACGCACTTGTGCACTCTGTGGCCAGTGGATGGACTCTATCGTCCGAGCAGCCACTGAGGCCATCCCGAGACATTTTGCCGCCTGATACTGGAGCAGCAAATGGTCTTCACACCCTTCCGCTCAGCACACATCCATAAAGTCAAGGGGCATCAAAGTCAGCCAATTTATTTGGCACCCAAGTCAGAAAATCCTCCAAGCCCCGCCTTCTGCTTCCTGCCAGCACAACCGTGGGTCCCCCCCGCCCTTTCACAATTTGCCCTGAGAAGTCCAATGAGGCATGCAGCAGGGTTAGGCTAGAAGAAATCTGTCTGGTTTTGCAGGCCTTTGCGCTGAGAGTCTCTCACTGGAGAACTGCATCTTATTATTTACATTTTAAAAAAACATCCCCAACGCTGAAACCCTGAGTGGGAGACATCCCCTAGTTTTTCTGTTTTGTCTAAAGAATTCCATGTAACTTGAAAGTTGTCTTTTGTTAGCCGAACACAAGCTTTTACATAGTAAATGATTCTTAAGTGGAATACAGTAGGACCCCCATATCCACAGGATCTGTACTGTGGTTTCACTTATGAAAATATTGGGGGAAAAACACTAGAAATATGTTTTTCACAATGTATTTACCAGAACTCGTCATTAGAGGGAGCCAAAGACTATGCTAATTCTTCTTATTGAATACATAGCATGTTCTCTGGCTCCCTCTAATGGCCAGTTCTGATAATACATGGTAAAATATGTATTTCTGGATTATTACTATTTTTTAAAACCATGCCGTCTAGTGTTTGCTATTATTCTTGATTTTCAGCATCTGGGGGGCGGCGGCTTTGGAACCAATCCCCCATGGATATGGGGGTCCTACTGTATAGGTTAAAATTGGTAGGGAGAAAAGCAAACAAAAGCACAAGAGAGGGTCTTACCACATCAGTACTGAGCCATTCCTCAATATCATCCATGACAGAGGGCTGTGTGACAGGAATCTACGGAGCGCAGCAAGAGATACAGCAAAGGCAGGCAAAAACCAAAACACATCCACAATCATGGCCACAGAATGCGAAGGAAAATGAGGTGTGGGGGGGGAATAAAGAAAACACAGATGCTGCATAAGAAGCTTGGTCATCACTGGAACATAAAAAAAACTGCAACAAAATACAGAAAACCAACAGTACACAAGTAACAGCAACGGGAAGCGCGGAAAAGAACGTGGCTACGAAAAGTAAACGAAAGGTCGTCACAAGTGAAATGGCTGAATGCAAGTGCGGATGGGTCAGAAATGGGATAGGCTGGTGAATTGAACCCGAGACAGCCAGAAGTGGGCGGGACCTCATCTAACAGGTCCAGAGTTGGGTCTGGTTTATATGCAATGCAAACCACGGTTTAGTGTGACGGGCTTCAACCAAGGTTGCTTGGCTTCAAGGTCCCAGTTAACATTGCAGAGAACACTCCTCTTTTCCCAGGTCTCCAGGCAGAGAAGCACAAGGGCGGAGATCTAGATTCGCGTCTGGCATTTGAAGAGGCAGGCTACAGCCCATGAATGCTTATGCCAGCCAAAACTGGGTAGTTCCCCCCCCTCCAGGTGCTACTCATCTCTGCCACGTGAAAAACAAGAATAGCAAACTAGACGTCCCACAATCTGTCATGGAGGCGTCGTCTGTAAAAGGTGGTACAGATGGACCCATTGCAAAGTTCAGCCAAGGAGGTGGCGTTTCTTTCATTTCCTTCTTCTCCTGCCTTACACCCAATTCGGGGACTCAAGATCCAAGAGGAGGAATGGAGAGCGTGACACTTTTTCTCCAGCAGGTTAAGCCCAATATTTGAGCCTCTGAGCAATTGACCATTTTAATCGACTCCTAAGGGTGGAAAAGCGGCAGGCGTGAGACAAATAGGGGACAAATTAAAAAAATGAATGGGGGTGATCTGTGCCATCTTTTAGGAAGTCAAGAGCCTCCTGCCGTTACTAATTTGTGCCTGTTTGGTTTTTTTTTAATGGTCAGCCTTTGTTTGGGTCCCTTGTGATTTTTTTTTTTTTACATCCACACGGTCACTTTCCTCCCTTATCAAAAAAAATGATGCAAAAAGAGGAAGGAAAAGCTCCTGAAAAGGGGTCTCCTTGCTACTCGCTTCTGTGTTTTCCAATGCCATGGAGGGAGAATTGGGCCCAACATCCTATACCCACTTACCTTGGAGCAAGCCCTCCTGCAAAGAGCAGGACGTACCTCTGAGCAGAAACACACAAGGATCGCATCTGCCCCATAGGCTGACCCTGAAAGCCCCTCCACCAGCTTCCCCCAAACCTGGCAATCCCGGTATGACCACGCTGACTAGGCTAGCCTGTGGACATGGGGACCCGCATACCTGGGAGGCCCCTGGCTTGGGCCTCTGGTTATTTATTTCTTCCAGCTCGGCTCTGTAGTATTGAGGCAGTGGGGAGAACTCTGAATATTTCAGAGGTTTTTCTACTTCAAAGCCCACCATCCCTTACCACTGGCCTCGCTGGGTGAAGATGATGGGATGTTGCAGGCCAAAACACTTTCACAGACAAAAGTTTCCCCAGCTGGTTCTAAAGAGACGGCACTAAAACATCCACGGAGGACAAAGGCTAAAGGAGCAAAGGGGGAACTCCTTCAGAAACAGAAACCGTCAACCTCTACTCAGAAACACACGGACCTCGGAAACTGCTCCTTACTCTAAGTCAGAACTTTGATCCGCCTATTTATTCCAATGCAGTCAACTCTGACAGGCAGCAGCAGCAGCAGCAGCTTTCAATAGCCCCCGGCCAGGATCGTTCCCAGGCCTCGTTGGCTAGGGAAGGACCTGAACCTGGGACCTTATGGGTACCATGCCTGGAACTCGGTCTCTCAACCCTGTGGCTCACAAGAGCTGGATTTTATATAAGATAGTCGCTCAAATCGTACAATTCTGCCAGGCTGTCGAATATATGTTTCTGTAGAGCACCTAAAATTGTAATCTTCGTTGCTGACTGTGGCCTGAAACAGCTAAACCTGGAAAGCATCAATCATAGAATTCACACCAAACCATGGTTTGCCCCAACCACAGTGCGGATCCTTCCATCATACAAGCAAACCATGGTTTAGCAGTCTTCATTTCTATTTTCCATTTGCTAAACCCTGTTTTCTGGTGCAGAGCGTTTAGGATATGCGATGATAGCCATGAGCTCTGGCTTATCAATTGTGCCATGGTTGGCACAAACCATAGTTTGCAAGCTCGCTTCAACGGGTATGTTTCTTTAACTTGGTTAATGGTGGGCTGCAGGGGATGGATGGCTCAGTTCCAACCAGGCACTAAACGACTGCTAAGCTTCTAAAAACCTGTTTTCATAGAAGGTATAAACCAGAGGCATGTTGCATGCTGCTTCCAGATGATGCTGGACTGGAGCTCTCCAACTTCTTTCCCATGGATGATCTGGGCTGCAATCCAGAAACATCTTGGAGGGTGCACTTTGTTCATCCCCTCATTTAAATGGAGCCGCCATGGGAGACCACAGCAGGGGGGATATGAATTTTGGTTCCTCTTGGTAGAATGGTCTAGAGCAGTGGTCTCCAACCTTGGGCCTCCAGCTGGTCTTGGACTACAGCTCCCAGAAGCCTTCACCACCACCTCTGCTGGCCAGGATTTCTGGGAGTTGATGTCCAAGAACATCTGGAGGCCCAAGGTTGGGGACCACTGGTCTAAAGCACTGGTTCTTAACCTTGGGTTACTCAGGAGTTTTGGACTGCAACTCCCAGAAGCCTTCACCACCAGCTGTCCTGACTGGGGTTTCTGGGAGTCGCAGTTCAAAAGCATCCGAGTAACAAAGGTTAAGAACCATTGGTCTAGAGCAGTGATTCCTAACTTTGGGTCCCCAAATGTTCTCGGACTACAACTCCCAGAAATCCTGGCCAGCACACTGAGTGGTGAAGGGTTCTGGGAGGTGTAGTCCAAGAACATCTGGGGAGCCCAGGGAGCTAGAAACAGAAAAACCAAAATCTAATTTTATCACTCATGAAATTTCAAGGAAGTATCTCAGATTTGAAAGCTAGCATTGACTTTCTAGTTCCTCTGCCCCGTCTGAGGACACTGACCAACGGACAGCCAGGTTCCTTCTCATGCCTCAGCTGAAAAATTGGCATCCGCAGCTCCTCCAAACTGTACCGCTTGTGACACCTTTGGGACGCCAGATCAACGAACGGACACAGTGAAGAGATACCACTAGTTCGGACAAAAAACTGGGTTATGGATTAGTTCGATTCTAAGTGACGCCAAACAGGTCCATATTAAAAAACAAACAAGAGTGAGTGACCTACGTACGACAGGGAAGAGATGGGCATGTGAGTGACGCCTATCCGGCTGGTTATTAAGACCCCCCACGAAGGCAGCAGTATCCATTTCCCAGATGGAACAAACACAAGCCAACAGCCAAAATCTGGGCAGGGCAGAAGGAGAACCCGGCATTTTCTGTCTTTTAAAAAACAAAATACAGCAAAGCCAAAGGAGGCGCTCCTGACTCTACCTTTGGAATAGCATCAAAAAGGTGGAATGAGTCACAGCAGGGCTTCGTGTCCTGTTGAGTCAGAAGAAGACCCCACCCAGAAACAGGCCACCCCCTGGTCAAGGCAGGGGGAAAACAATGCCCGAACATGGTCCGGTGGCCACCTTGGTCTGTGCGCTCCCCCCGACTGTCCAACCCCACAGGGAACAGAAGGCAAAGCAGGCGCTCTCTTATTCTGTTCCTCTCGTGGAAGAAGGCTGGTGCTCAATGCCTGTTTGTGTGCGTCGCCCAAAAGGGAGGTAAGCAGAAAGTTCTGTAAAATGGTATCAAGTTCTGTTGGGTTTGGGGTCCTCCGAGTCCTTGAGATGCTCACCCCAAAGTCTTATCCTGACGGCACCGCCGTCTTCTAACACGACACATTCCTCTATCCCACCTCCTAGAATACTTGTCAAGGGGAAGGACTGCTGCAGAGCCCAGGGGTTTAGTCTTCTGGCTTCAGACCCCGAGGTTGGGAGTTCGATTCCCCCCACGGGATCTCCTGGACAAGGGGCTGTCTTGGGTGATCTATAAGGTCCCTTCCAGCTCTGCCATTCTAAGAGGAGGAGGATGATAAACCCTGAAGGTTTTATTATGAACTGCAGTGTGAGCTTCGCTTCGCACAGCTTCTGTGTTTCTGCTGAGCACTGCAGGGAGGAGCTATTAATTTTTTGTGTGTGTACCCTCACAAAAAAAACAAGATTTCTCTTTTATTAAAACCAGGAGAACTTGTGTTTACCCCTAAGGGGTGGGAAAAGTGGATACTGCACGTATTAAAAACAATGAGCCAGTACAAAGAACGTGGAGAGCGCCATCTGAGTTTTTGAAAACCAGCCCGGCTACATCCAGCCATAGGTGAGGTCTGCCCCCATCGCTGACTCTGCGGAGGAAAGCCCTCCCGACTCTCCCGCCCGGAAAGGGCCACGCACCCCTGGGATGCAGATGGGGAGCGCCACCTCTTTGTACTGTTCCCTTCGCGGTCCCCCAGCGGGCTGAGTGACAGGGAAACGGAGGGTGGTTATGCTAGTTTTCTGAAAACAGAGGGGGAGAACGATGGGGTGGGGTGGAACAGGGGCGGTCACTCGGCCGGTGGAAGCCTCCTCACCATTCCTTGGGTCATTAGCCACTTGTCTATGGGCTCCATGTCTGAGCTCCCACCTTTACCTCTCCTCTGTGTGGTGAGAACAGAAACGCCCATTAAAATTAGAAGGAAACAAAAATCGAAAGCTGTAGCAAGAGACAGAAAAGAATATCACACACGCTGAGGGAACACCTTGAACTTGAGCTGCACATGGTTTGGGAGGTCTTCTGCCTTCTTTCCCTGCATGTATAAATAACCGCTCACCTACGGTGAGTAAAAACCAACTACAGGTGAATACACCTTATCATTTCTTGGAGGAGAATAATTCCCTCTGCATCTTATCTAGATTTTACTACCCATCTAAGATGACCTAAGCACGTAGATGGGCTTAGACAGGAAGGACGTACCCAAGGCCAAGCAAGACTGAGTGTGTTCAGGATGATACCAGCTGTCGGTAACCAGTCTCTTAAAGCTCAGATAGACAAATTGGTAGGTGTTTTGGGCTCCGATTGTCCCAAACCGTGACTACTGGTCATGCTGGCTTGGATTTATGGGAGATCTAGCCTCAACCCTCTGGACCGCTTAGTGCCAACTAGGGCAGACCCACTGAATCAATTAGATTGTTCAAAGTACCCTATGATAGGAGATTCAACCTGTCTACTTTAATTACAACAAGCTTTTTGATTGGACTGCCACCTTCCGCTCTGAGATATAATGAATTCAGGCAACTTTAAGGCAACATTATCCACCCACGTATATACAGAAATAAAATCCCACAGGGATTTTAATTATGGGGTGCTTAATCTCAGGAAAGAAGCACCGAGAACAGGAGCCAACAGGTAAGAATTAAAAACCGAGGCAGGCAGCCGGCAGCCCTGGAGACACTTCTAGGTTGCAACACCCCACTGTTTCTCAACATATGCGACCCTGGCAAGGGATGATGGGAGCTGTAGTCTGAGAACATCCAGAAGGCTACATGTTGTTTCTGATTCAGGACATAAGGTAAATATACCTTGAGATGCCAGAGCAGAATGTTATTTTAGGCTCCTCCATGCCTTCTGCACCTGAAATAGACCACCTTTAAAAAGCATTTGTAAAGCTGCTTTGATTATCCTGCATGTAACAATTTCTGGAAAAGCCAGGATGCGGCTGCTTTGCTGCCCAGATCCGAACTGAGATGCAACTGGATGCTCCCTGTGTTCTCCTTGTTTCCCCTAAGGAAAGCTGCCAGCTTTAATGCTTCCTGCACTTGGGTCCCTTCGGCTTTATTCCCCGAACGCTCCGATAAAGACTGCAAGGCCACGGGTGATTAAAAGAAACAAGGCAGGTGGCTCAAACAGCCTGTTACGACACCTCTGAGTTTTGCAGGAAAGCCAGACATCCTTCATGTCACCTCCGAAGGTCGGGCAAAGTCTGAAAAGAGGCCGACTGTCATATACTTTGACCTCCTTGGCTTGACTCAGGCAGGCCCTTTGGACTGACAACGCTCTAGGCTGATAAGAGCTGCGTCGACAGGAAGGACCTCAAAAGTCAAGTCTTCGAGGGGCAACAGGCATCCCATTGCCCCTACCCTACGGCAAAAGGGGGAGGGGGCTTTCTCTCAAAACCAGGAGTGACCGTCTTGTAACTTTTGTAAGTTTTCAAAAAGGGAGTGGCTCCATCACTCATAGATCTGAGGGCGGGCGGGGGGTGGAGAGGAGGGAATGGCGCTGGGCCAGCCCCTGGACCCTCCCCAGTTGCCAATTGCCATTCCCGGCCGTAAACACTGGGGAGGGGGCATCAGTAGAGAGCCTAAGGGTGCTCAGAAGTGGAAGACGGCCTCCTCATCGCTGAACAACAGCATTTCTCATTTGTAGATTAGAAAGCAAACGAAGATCTACAGTTCACTCCCTCTCACTCAAGACGGATTCTCGGTTGCCTCTTAAAGAGCTGCTCTCCTGAGCCGGGCTTCTATTTCTCTTCCTGGGTGCGGGGTGGGAATCGAGCAGGGCTCAACACCCTCGCGGAGGCACTCAAACCTCTTTGGCTAACCTCCTGTCAGAATAAATAACCCTCCGCCGCTTGCTTTCAGCCTCTTTAAAAGAGTTTGAAAAGAAATCCCCCCCCCCCAATCCCTTCCGGCCAAAACTACTGCTCAGCCCCACATTTTGGGGTTCTGTTCTTCTCATCGGAGGAGTGCCCCAAAACACTGCTCCTCCGGACTAGAACTCCTCAAATCTCCTCCGACGGCCAGCTATGATGGCTAGAGAATTCTGGAACCCGTAGTCCTCCAAAGCTTTGGTCCTCATCTCCCACCCTCCATCGTCCTCTGCCTTCTCCCTTCCTTATCATACGTGCTGAGACTCAGAACTCCCCGAGGAGACTACATCGATGAACTCACATAGAGAAACTCTACAGAAAGGCCAGAAGTGAGATCTCCTGCACCCCCAACCCCAGGAGGTTATAAGTGGAAATAAAAGTGGAAATAAAGGAAGGTCTCCAGGAATCCACGTTACTGTCGCTACTATAAAAAAGCAAAAGGAACTGGAATCCAAAAGAAGGGATTGCATTCCTCACTCAAATGGGGCGGGAATTTTGTACCACATAATTAAGTGAAAAGCCTCACACTGCAAAATCCAACCTAGCACTCTGGAACGAAGCAGTCTTGAACTTCTACGTTCATGATTTGTGCATTTCTTCAAGCAGAGGCTGCTAAGAGCTAGGCTGGGTTTCCAAGCGGAATCTGCCATAAGCGTTCTCGAACACAAATCTCCCAGGCCCTTAGGAACCTTTTGCAGCCAACGTTACTAAAAGCGACCCACGTGTTCCCAGAAACCAGCGTGACGTCCGTGACCCTGACATAATGGTTCTGTGAAAACTCTATTGGGTACCCACTGCAGTTGCAAAGTGAGGTGAGCCCATCTCTCTGGGATGTCAAACTCACCGCCAAGGTACAAGAAGGGGTGGTTTAGGATGTACCCACTTCCCCGGGGATGCCCACCACAACGCGTGAGAGGACACCTTCTGTGTCTGCAAAGCGAGAGGGTGGGGAAATGACTTACCCCTCCCGCGTTCTGTTTCCGAACCTCCTGGGGGCCCCTGATGATCTTGGGGTCTTCGGATGTCACTCTAAAACAGAAGAGGCAGGAGAGATGCTGTAAAGAACTGGGCAGGAGGGCAGAGCGTGAGGGTTCCAGCACGACTGTTGAGCATGTTGTTACTTCCTTACCACGTCTACCGAAAAGGTGGGCTCTAAATTATGCACAAATGCATTCCTTGGCTGCAGCCCGGCAGCTAACCTACAGTGTGGAGAAATGGGAAGCCCCCCCCCAACAAGTTTCATTTCAGTTGTGAAATTATTGTTAGTGATCATAGAATCATCAAATCGTATCATAAAATAACAGAGCTGGAAGGGGCCTCGAAGGCCATCCAGTCCAACCCTCTGGTTCAAGGCAAGAATCCAAATCAAAGCAGGCACTGGTCCCATTTCCCCTTGAAGGCCTCCAGCGTTGGAGTGCTCACCCCCTCCCCCTGAGGTCATGGGTTCCCTTGTCGTACTGCTCTAACAGTTAAGAAGATTTTCCTAATCTTCAGCCTAAATCTGCCTTCCTGTCGCTGGAGCCCATCCTGACGTATCCTGCACTCTGGGATGATTGAGAAGAGATCCTGCACATCTTAAGAAGCTGGTTTCTGCTGAGCCCGATCCTTGGTCCACTGAGGCCAGCGTTCCCAACTCTGTACAGCAGCCAGGACCCTCCAAGATCCTGAGCAGGATTCATCCCAAACACTATCTGGAACTTGCCAGTATTTCCTGGATGTCATGAGCACAGGAACCACCTAGATCCTTGGAAGAAAGGGCCACGACCAAAACGGAGGAGAAAAAGGCCGTGCCCCACACACCGTGACAGCCCAGCTCTCCCACAAAGGTAGGTCTGGTCTCGGACGGTGCTCAGCAAGAAGGAGAGGAAGGACAGGACCGGACAGAGTTGGCAAGAAGGGGAAAAATCGGGGAACAGAAGGCTGATCCATCACCCTAGAACTCCTTCTCTCTGACTTGGGCAAATCGAAGCAACACTGTTTTCATGCCATTGACACACCCTTAACAAGATACGAGAAAGGACGTGGCAATCCTGCTGCTGACGAGGACCCTGCAGGGGTCCACTAGAGGCCACCTGTTAGCCCAAAGCATCCCTCGGAGTCAAGGGCACCCAGAGATGGGGGGGGCAATTTGCCATTTGGAGAATCCCACAGCTAGCAAAGGGCAGCTCCCGGAAACCTCCCCGGCTGGAGGCTTCTAGGAGTCGGAGCCCACTAGCCGTGGGTCTCTGGAGGCTCATTGTCCAAAGAAGTCACCCATTTCCCCATTTCTGAGGCTGCCACCCCATCCACCGCTTCTGGCCCTCCACGTACGTCTGGCAGACTTCGGCCGGCGCGCCGCCTCTCGTCTGCGCAAACATGTCGAAGTCGTCACGGGGGTTGGCGGGCTGGAGGGAGCTGAGCGTGCCGCTCACGTTGTTGGTGCCCAAATCTAGGGAGACACAGAACAAGGGAATGAAAGGAAAAAGAAAAAGAAAAAAAACAGTGGAGGACCAGAAGGAGGCAGCATCGGCCAGAGTTTTTGCAAGAGTCTATCAGAGAGTCGGGAGAGAGACGTTTTTGGCCTTCCAAGGGCCCCTCTTTCTTGCGGCTCAGAGCTCTCCCCACAGAGGTCTGTGCCCCATATACAAGCCTTTGGATTAGGTGAGATGAGGGCCCTGACGGCAAACACTCATAACCGCACAAGCTTCTTCAGGCAGACGGACAAACACACCTTTTACAAAAATTGCCTTTTCAGACCATCACTCCCCAAATCCCTGAGCTGGTGGTGGACAGGGCACAGCCCAGAAAAGGCAATGTCACCAAGGCCTGTGTAATAAATAAACCTTGGCAACTTGCCTTGAGGACTAGCTGCATGTTGTTCACCTTGCCAACCCGTCCTCCCTTCCAAAGAATTGGGGAGGGGAAAAGAGAAGCACCCACCTAGCCCGGCCAGCTGGGAAGAGAGGGTCGCGGGTGGAGCGGTGTTCCCCACCATGGGGCTGACCACCGCTGGGGAGCCGGGGCCGAGATCTATTAGGTTGTCTTCCGTCACCTCGCTGAGAACCTGCGGGAGCCGATCGAGACACCCGGAGCAATTACACAAGGTAGGATCATTGGATCTCACTCATTGACACTCTGGGCATGATTCTGTGAGCGTGTTCGGGTGGTCTGTACGCTTGACAACAAAACGGACCGACCCAAAGGCTGGCGGGTTCTCCTTGGCTGAATGATTTTAAGCACAGGCCAGGCGACGGATTTGCAATCTGTGTCACAAAGCCTGCAAAGAACAGGCCGTTAAGATCCGACGTCCTCCACGGTGGTGAATCCGTGGTGATCTCGCTGGATTAAGAACACAGACCCCCCACATGTATTAGGATCAGAGGATCTTGTTTAGCCCCGATGGCTGTGCCTGCGTGACATGAAATCTTATCTTCCTCTACTGGTTAGGATTGTAACGGATTCCAACCCAAAGGGGATCTGGAGGCCACTGTGAATATTTGCAGGTGTTCCAGGAAAAAAGAAGAAGCTGCAGCAGCACCTCTGTTTCTAGGAGGACCCTCCGCAAAGCCTGAGGCCGGATCCGCACCCCTCTGGCAATCCTGTCCTGCTCACAGAATCCCCAGGAGACTTACCCCATTGCTAGCGTTCTGCGCAGACCGGCCCAGCCTGTATCGCTCAAACCTGCCGGCGGACAAAACATGGGGCAAATTAAAACGGAAGGTAGGTAGAAGCTCTAAAGAAATCTGGCTCTTGGCACCAAAGCTAGGCACGGGGGAAAAGAGTCTGCCTTCTTTTTGCATGTCAGGAGAGAAGGAAGGGACATGGCTTCCAGGAGCGAAGCATCAAAGTCTGCCTGTAAGGGCGCCCCACGGCCCCTCCCCAGTTCTCTGAGCACGGCTAAATGCTGCTTTCCCCCTCCCTTCTCCAAGACCGGCCACAAGGCAAACTTAGTCGTGCCCTGTGAAAACTGCCACCTCCTCACTCAGAGCTAGACTCCCAGAAATCCTTCCTGTTCTGCCAAACCCATCCATGTCAGATGCTATTTCCCTCTCACCCACCCCCCAAAAAACCATCTGCTTTCGGCAGGAAGAAAGGCAGGAAGAATTCACAGCCCATGAACAGAGAGGACCAAAGGGTTTCGGTTCCAGGATGAAAACCCAAAACGCCACTTAGAAAAGAACGTCCGGCCACCTTTCGTATCTGAGGAAGACGTTGTTCAGGTCGTCGTTGACGTGGAGCAGCTCCTCGGTGACCTCCTCGTTCGATACTCGGGAGATCAGCTCCACAATTCTCTGCTGCATGGCGCGGCATGTGCGGTTCAGCTCCTAGGAGGAGGAGGAGGCACAACACGGGAAGCGCTGAGACACAGCCGGCCAAGAAGGCCTGGCCTTCAAGCTAGAGGCGGAGCGGTCTGTGGCTTTTTTGAACTACCACTCCCACAATTCTCTAGGCTGGACAGGACTTTGATAAAGGAGTTGCAGGCCAACCTCTCTCTCTCTCTCTCTCCTCCTCTGATCAAGAAGGTCCTATACATTTTTGCAATTCAAAACTGGAGGGACCAAAGCCAAAGGCAAGGTGTGCATACATGGCGTGGGAAATCAAACCTCCACCACCCCATTTCTGTTGTGTCCCCAACTGCAAAATGACCAGATGAAGGGCTTAAAACTAGAAGACAAGCCGAGGAAAGAGCAGAGCAAGAGCCCTCATGCGGAGGTCCAAGAATAATAATCCCTTTCTCCTTTTTACCTGCAATAACTCGAGATCTGACGAGTCTTCCTGGCCAGGAACCATCTCCGTTAGCATCTCGGACATCACTTTTGTGTTTCCACGAACAACGTCGAGTTCACTGCGTAGTCGTGCGATCTGCTTGGCAGAGGGAGAGCGGGTTGGAAGGCAGCCTCCCTGCTGAAGGGGGGCGAGAACCGGTGTCGCAGAGCCGTGGCCTAAGACTCCTGAAACCCGGGTTCAAGTCCCCACCTGGCAATGGAATCTCATTGGGGGTGGCCGGGGTCAGCCACTCCTTGAATCCCTTCATTTCCCTGGACCCCAATTCTGCTGTAAGCTGGGAGCGACCAGACTGGACGTAAGAGCAGCAAATGGAAATGGCACGCAGGCCATGGTGTTCACCCTCCCCCAGAGCGCTTTCCGCAGCCCCTGCTGGTCAAATACCTGCTCTGTGTTTGCTGTGATGGGACCGGTCACGTTCAGAGCGGGGGCCTGGGGGGCCGAGTACGCCGTCGGAGAGGGAGAGCCAGAATAAGACCCCGAGCTCATTCTCTGATGGGACTGGGACCTGTTCATGTTAGCAGCCGGGTCAACCTCGGGAACGCTCTAGCGGAGAAGGAGAGACCAAGAAAAGAGCAACAGAGGAGTCATTCAGAACCAGAACTCCTTGGAAACGCAAGACGGCTCAGAAAAGTGACGGCTGTGAGCGACAGTTTGCGTGCCTACATACTAGCTGCAATCTGGGATTCAGAAATAACTTTTTCTAAACTCTGCAATAGACTCTCCGCACAAGAAGGTGTCACTTTCTTCTTTCCCTATTTGGCTCGGGCAAAGGGGCTTGAAGGACATGAAGGACCGTGATCAGCCACATCCACTCAACGAAGCCTCCACATTCCAGGGCAGCATATCTTCAAAGACCAGTTCTGGGAAACAAGTGCACACATTCCTGCTTATGAACTTCTCTCATGCATCTGGCTGGCCACTGCAGGAAAGAAAATGCTGGGCCCAGATGTGCCTTGGGCCAGATCAAGCCTCAAAGCTCCTCCAGAGTTCTCTTGGGTGGTGTCTCCCTTTGCCAGGAAAATGTGTGACACTGCCTACAATCATCTAATGCCAAATCTCCATCCTTTTCTGGACTGCAGCTTCTAGGCCCCAGCTGAGGAGGGCTACCGTGGTCTGTCTCAGTCCATTGGATAAGGAGCACATGATCTAGAGCCCACTTACCCTCTGAGGTGTGTGTATCGGAGACAAAGCATCCAGGTCAGCCATGGGAAACTCCACCCCTTTCCTTTTGAGCTCTTCGTAAATGTGCACCACCCCGGTCAGGTCGGGGCTGCTTCGGAAGGCGTCTGCCCAAGCCTGGAATGAAGAAGAAGCCACAAATACTATGCCGTTTTCATGAAGCAGAGAGTTTTCTTCCCTTACGGACACTGTTCTCCTCCGCCTAGCCTGAAGGCCACTGTTCTTGGGTAGACTCAACAGAATCTCTCAGGACCTAACCCCCTGAGATGACAGGAAGTGGGGAGCAGAGATTAAGGACTTCACGATATGTAATAGTGTGGCATCGGCAACCACAGATTAAAAGGTCTTTAAAAACGTGGTTCAACAAGAATCACAGGGAGTCCAAACAGAACGTGGTCAGGCTCTCCCTGAGATGACAGGAAGCATGGCCAGGTCAGGAGGGAGCAGAGATTAAGGACTTCATGAGATGTAATAGTGTGGCATCTGCAGCCGCAGATTAAAAGGTCTTTAAAAACATGGTTCAACAAGAATCACGGGGAGTCCAAACAGAACGTGGTCAGGCTCTGATTCTGGTGAACCTCCAGAGAAGGGAGATGAGACAGGCCTTCCTAAGGGTCTGGATGTTTGCACAGAGTTTGAAAAGGTTTTTTTAATGTATTTAATTGCTAACCCCTTTCTTTAACCCTTCCTCAAGGACCACAGTAGCTAGCAGCGACAATACTTAAAAATAACCAGAAGAGAAGATTTGGAAACACCAACAACCAAAGGCAGCTGCAGCATTGACATGGGGGCATGAGGCTTTCAAAGCACCACAACACAAATGCCTCTAGGAGCAATGGTACAGTTTACCAAGTGCAGGGAAGTAGGTCAACCAGAGTGGCGGAGAAATGGGGATACGCAATGTACGCCCATGGAAGTAACGGCCGTTCTTGTAAAATGCAGCCGTTTCCATCCTGGCCCTGTCATCGTGATTGGCTACCGTTCAGATCACTCCTAGAAGGAATGATGCCACCTGCACTTGGAAGGCACAAGAATTTGGGGGATCTTTAAAAAGGTGTCATGTATATGCTTTCTCCTGGAACTAGTCTGGAGGCCCTTGTCCCATAAAAAAATAAACCAACCATCACCATATGCTAATCTACAGGCCAAACTATATTTCAAAGCTACCCCTTAGGAATTCATCCTAACAGGAATTCAGTTTAACCAATCGAAGCAGCGGCAAAATTAATGCATTTTATCATGCTGTGCTGCAGC